ATGGTAGTCCTAGTTATACCAGCAACATGGCTGCCTCAAATGAAAAAAAAATCCAGAAGGACTGACAAAGACGCAACTAAAACGAGAGAGCCTAGTTGGGTACAGAGTTCACCTACAGAGAGAGAAGGCTATGATTCATCCAAGACTCGGAAATATGAGTCCCATGCACAGCATTCTCACAGAGAGCGCCATGGCCTGAAAAGTAAGCGGAAGCATCATAGCACGGAAAAACGCAAGAAGAAAAAAGATGGTAGCAAACATAAGCACAAGAAGGGTAAGAAGAGGTCCAGAACGCATGACAAGGGTCTGTCTGGTAAAAGCCAAACCTTTCCCTGAGCAGTGAAAGTATTGAATCCCGAGAGCAAAGATGAAAGTGAGGGCAGAGAGAAAGAGGGAAAAAATATCCAGAAGCCCAAGAGTGAAGAAAACTTATGAAACAAAACCCAGAAGAAAAAGAAGAAGGGAGAGGAAGCCACACAGCCAAGAGGCCGTAGCAGAAGTCGGTATTACTACTATGAAAGAAGCAGATCAAGAAGCAGATCAAGCAGCAGATCTCACAGTCCTCCTCGAGGATGTGACAGGACAAGATCCGAGAAGCCCAGTGGGAAAAGGAAATACAAGACCCGTCACCTGGAGAGGTTTGACAGGGGAAACAAAGAGGCCTCTTCCCCAAAAGAAGGCAGTACCTTTGGGAAACGTTTGCCAAAGTGCGGAAAAACGCAAGAAGAAAAAAGATGGTAGCAAACATAAGCACAAGAAGGATAAGAAGAGGACCAGAACGCATGACAAGGGTCTGTCTGGTAAAAGCCAAACCTTTCCCTGAGCAGTGAAAGCACTGAATCCTGAGAGTACAGAGGAAAGAAGAGAGAGCACAGAGAAAGAGGAAAAAATGTCCAGAAGCCCAAGAGTGAAGATAGTTTATGAAACAAAACCCAGAAGGAAAAGAAGAAGGGAGAGGAAGCCACACAGCCAAGAGGCCGTAGCAGACGTCAGTATTAGTACTACAACAGAAGCAGATCAAGTAGCAGATCTCACAGTCCTCCTCGAGGATGTGACAGGACAAGATCCGAGAAGCCCAGTGGGAAAAGGAAATACAAGACCCGTCACCTGGAGAGGTTTGACAGGGGAAACAAAGAGGCCTCTTCCCCAAAAGAAGGCAGTACCTTTGGGAAACCTTTGCCAAAGTGCCCGGACTCTTACAAAAGAGCATCTAGCTTCTTGGACAGTCCATGTGAGGCAGATACCTCAGAGAGAAAGAGGAAAAGAGTGTCCAGAAGCCCAAGTATGGAGATAATTAATGAAACAAAACCCAAAAAGAAAAGAAGGGAGAAGAAGCCATATAAAAGCCACCTCGGCTCCTCTCCAATGGCTATTATGATTACAATTGACAGTGACAGTGACAGTGATAAAACCGCTGAAATCCAGGCCTATTTAGGATGGGACAATTTCGTTTCCTGGAGTCCTGAAGTCTCACAATATGAGAGAGAGGGAGAATCTCCATCAGCATACTTGGAGGCTAGAGACTCCAGATGTGACAGAGTTGGTGAGAGAGAAAATATGGACAAGGATAGATTATGATTACAATTGACAGTGACAGTGACAGTGATAAAACCGCTGAAATCCAGGCCTATTTAGGATGGGACAATTTCGTTTCCTGGAGTCCTGAAGTCTCACAATATGAGAGAGAGGGAGAATCTCCATCAGCATACTTGGAGGCTAGAGACTCCAGATGTGACAGAGTTGGTGAGAGAGAAAATATGGACAAGGATAGCATAGGAGATGAGACTCCAAAGAGAGTTGGACAGATAGAAGGATGGGACAATGGACACACACCTGTGGTGGAGAGCAGCACGTCAGTTGGTGCTGGACATGAGCTGAGCAATCGAGAAATGGAATCTTTGGGGCAGCTACCAACTGACAAAACGTCCCTGCTGTTAAACCTGAGGGAGAAGCTGACTGAGCATTCCCATCCGCTGGACTTTCAGGGCAGAATGTATAGCGTTGCCAAGAAAATGTTTTTTGAATAGATTATACCCCCTCCCCCGACTTTTCCTGAAAACACCAAACCCCCTTGTGGGTGTGGTGCTAAGAGTTATGAAAGTACAGTACTTCTGTATGAAGTATTTGCACCCTCAAATTTTGATACGGAAATCAAAAGAGTATTGCTAATTACTGCCACCTCCTTTTACTTCAAACTGTGTTTTCTGTGCCACAAAATCATATTGTATTTTCCCTCTGTAATATAAATGCCTTGTATCTTTGTGGGTTTTTTAAAATGTAAAGCTAGAAAATACTTTTAATGGTTAGTTTTTTAAAAAATGAAGAGGAAAGAAACAGGTTTTTAAAATATATTTTATTTACAGAACCCATCTTGTTCTTTGTCACACTGAGGCCTTTTTCCCCCATCTGGGGCCTCTAATATTTTTTAGACTTTGGATTAATCAGGGGTCGAGCTGTTTGTCTGTGCTGCCTTTGTTTCTCAAGCAGACATGCTTGCTTCCTCTTTGCTGCTCTCTGTCTGCGTATATCTATGCTACACAGTTATGTATGTTAGATGCTTAATCTGCCATGGGACCATGCTATTGAATTCTGGGATTTGTAGTTGGGTGAGGTATTTAGCATTTTCTGCTACACAGTTCAGGGGGAGTCCCTCAGAAATCTTCAA